TATAAGGGTTAAGGAAACTAATGTGCATTGAGATCCTCGTGGAAGACACATTTTATATGTATAAATGCCTAAGGTATGGACTCGCTTTTTGGAATTTTGTTTAGAATACCACACGATTAAAATGCTAAAAGAAAGATGTCATATGAGGGGAAAATAGTTGTAAATTTGGACTGCATGTTATAATTTCCATTCTGAATGTAAAGAATTGAATATTAATAAGGCATTAAATGAAGGCTTTTTTTTTTTTTAGCAGTGATAATGCCTCTGATTCAAGTTTAAAAAAATGGGAGAACTGTTATTGCATTTTTATATTAGCACACTTTCTGAAAAGCAATTAAATTTCCTCGCCACCTCAGTTTTTAGAAAGCAAAAGGTTAGAAATTACAATAAAACTGAACATAATTTCCAAAAAACCTGAAAGTCATTGGACTGTGAGATATTTGAAATCATATCAAAAAGCAGAATTTATAGCCCTATGACTTATGGAAAAGGAAATGGAATTGTGTTTTATTTTTAAAACATAACCACTAAAATGGTGTTTCCATAGTAACAAGGTCAATACCAGTAGCCATTACAGACCTTCCCCTTTTCTGATGGTGGGTTTAAAGATCTTTTTCAAACACACCACTTTAGAAGACCTATGAAAAAAACACAGGTTTTCTGATCATTCATCTGAACCGAAAATGAAGAAAACCACACATGGAGTATTGAATTTCTCATGTTTTATGGATGACAAGCATTCATCGCTGTCATATTTTCAGAAAGAAGCCCTGCCTGACTAGCTACCATGCCAACTCCTGAACTTGGGATTTGATTAGCCTGATTGTAAACCAGGATAAACAGAAGTTGTTTGCAGTAGTATTCAAACAGACATCAAAGGTGGCACAGTATTAAAAAACATACTTCTTTAACATCTAAATATTGAAAGAGTTAAGTAAATAATCCTTGTTATTAAATTTCAAAGGCTCAGATAAAATACTGTATCGCTACTAGAGGAAGGGCAGACAGATGTAGGCCACATTTTGTTGACAACAGAACTAAATAGCTCTTTGGCCATAAAAATCAGTTCATTGAGCCCCACCAGGAAGTGGACTGCCCTTTCTTTTTTCTCTATATCAAGGTACACTGCCTCTATGGTAGTCATTTGTATAGCTTTGTCTTCTTCACTAAACTGCGAGCCCCTGGAAAGCAGAGATATTTTCTTTCTCTATGTATTCGTGACAGTATTTCACATGATATTTTGTACATAAAAAATACTGAAAAAAACAAGCAGAGAATGCATCATGAAAAATGATCACAAAACAGTAACTAAAATAACAAAATCTCTGGTTTAATTTTAGAAACAATGTATCAGTTAAAAATATGTACTCATGATTTTAATCTCTTTAAACCAAGAGACTTTAGAATCTTTGTTCATAGAATCCCCAACAGCGAAATAATGAATCCAGTTGCCTGCCCCCTAGATCAATTCCTTCAGAATCTCTACAGGTGGGGCTCTGGCATCAGTATTTTCTAAAGTTACTTTACTCAGATGATTCTTACGTGAAACAAGTGTTGAGAATCATTGCTTTACACAGTTCTCCCATGGTGCAACTGAGGATTAATTTACTTCCTGTGTTAGCTATATTTCCCCCGCAATATTGCCTCATAATACTATATTTAGCAAACCTATAAGAACTTTTGTTATAACCCAATGATTTTTCCCTGTAAACACTTTTTATAATAAAAAGTATCAATTAAAACAGTTTGGTCTTACACAATTAAAACTTTTAGCCCAAATTATCATTTATAGTATTCTGTTTAATATACTTATTAGCTTTCTGTTACTGTGAATTCAGCTTTAAAAACCAGAGCTGGACCGGGCGCGGTGGCTCAAGCCTGTAATCCCAGCACT